TGGCCAGTTGGGGTCAGCTGTCCTGGCTGTGTCCCCTCCCAGCTTCTTGTGTACCCCCAGACTCCTTGCTGGCAGGGCAGTATGAGAAGCTGAAAAGTCCTTGACGTAGTGTAAGCATTGCTTAGCAACAATGAAAACATCAGTGTGTTATCGACATTATTCTCATCCTAAATCCAAAGCACAGCACTATACCAGCTACTAGGAAGAAAACTAACTCTACCCCAGCCGAAGCCAAGACAACCTGTTATGCTGAAAGGCAAATACTTTTCTCAAAGGCAGCTCTTCCAGGAGAGCTCTATCCAGGCTATCTAGCAGGATAACAGAGGGTCAGGATGGGTTGATGCAAGACAGCCTGTTGGTATGACACAACTTTGAAAGAAAACCCCACGTTAAAGCAGCTTTTCAGCAGAGATAACTTTAGAAATAATAAAGCCTCATAATATAATTTAATTTATATTCTATCTTAAAGGAAAACCAGAAGCTTTCGGATTCATAACTCTTTCCTAATGCATACCTCAATGTTTTGGGACTTGTGAAGATAAGTAACCTCACAGAAGAGAGAGAAATTTTCTATCTTGCTTAAAATGAGATATGTAGTAAGTCAGTAGCAGCAGTGCTTCGATGAAGAAAATGCAAATATCTTGAGAAAAACATCTTCAGGGAAGCTGAAGTCAAGACTAGGAAAAGCCAATTTTAACTTAGAAACAGTTATCAAGCAAGTGCACTTACTAATTCGTATGTTTTATCTCAGTATTATTCTTGAAATAATTTTAAAAATAAAATAATAGTAGTAGTATGTGCATATGCATGTAGGCATGGGATAAATATGGTGACAGAGTGAGTACAACATATAGAAGACAGACTAGATTACCTGTTCTGAACTGGTGAGGCACAGCGATAACAAAAAGTGTGGTATAACACAGAAAGCACCTATGAGACTTCAGAAAGCTCAGTTTGAGCTCCATGTCTGTGTTAGTCTTAATTTTTCAGTGGCAGCAGCAGTCAGATGAGATGCACAGCAGCAGGGCAACAAGGAGGAGAAGGAACTGACAGGGGAAGCTTTCTTCACAAAGACTGGGAACCCTGGGCTAAACAAAAGTCCTCTTGAAGTCCTCTTCAGCACTGTCTTTGATGACAGGCTTTGTATGCAGCTGTGATTTAGATGGTTGGTTTAGATAGGCAAACCTATTCATACCCTGTAAATAAAGCTCTATTTAACATATGTTAATTTCGGATTAGAGCAATTTTTTGTCTATAATACATATGTAATAGACAGCTCCAATCTCTTCTGCAGACACTAATCTGAGAGAAAAATTGCTTCTTTTCACTATGTCTGAGCCTCAAATTGTACTGAGATAATTTGAGTAGCAGAAGCAGTCTAGCTACACCAACATGAGACTCACAAGCTTGCCCCGGTTTTCTGTAGTTCACCTACGCATGCAGTTTGCTCTATTTCTAATTTTCTTTTTTCCAATCACAGCCTGCAGGATATACCTCATAAATTTCACTTAGAAGGTAAAATGTTCACACAAAGTACATTTTTAAAACAATCACTGTATTCTTCAGAGAAACAATATAATAAATGACAAAATATTCTTGGCCCTCATCTCGAGTATGCTTATTTAAAAGCATTTAACAGTCAACATTGTTCTAGGTGTTGACATGGTGAGACAGTAAAACATATTTAAAGAAATGGAAGAAGAAATGTTAACAACGGATATGTTTTATGCTCTCTAAACTAAGAGCTGTTCCACATAATTCGTTTTCTAAATTGTGTACTGTTTTATAGAAAGAAAATAGAACTTGATTGATTCCCTTAAGTGAGTAAACACAGCAAGGAAGAAAATTGATTATTAAGAAAATAATTATACTTGGTATTGTCAGGAGGTAAAAAACAGTGTATAGGGAAATAAATGCAGGTGTATGTACTCTGCCAGCTGTGGTGGCTTCTACAGTTCTGATACCCACCAAGGTTCCAAACATGCCTTCATAGGATTAGGTACACAGTAAGTCTTGTTACACACATTTTACCTATATATTCGTCTCAAAAAACGCTATATCACAACAGATCAGTTAGAAGGTAGGTCTATCTTGGACCACTTGTCATTTTGACAAAAAGGACTTAAGACATTACCCAGGGGCTGAAGTGAAGCAGGTGAAAACTATCTCCCCATCCCTGAAATGCTGATGGCAGCCTTAAAAATGGAGAAGAGACATATCCCTGTACTAACTGCAGCTTGCACAGTCTTGACCTTCAGATATAGTAAATGAAATTGGTGCAAACATATTTAGTTTACAAAAATCAAGCAGCTGCATGATTTAATTACGATTCGAAGTCCCAGACATAACAATTCAGCAATTGAAAATCAGCATCTTATAGTTGTTTACTAATAGTTCTCAAAAAATGTTCAGGTTTTTTTTCATATCAGAGTTATTAATTAATTATGATTAGCATTAACTAACACCTTTTTTTGATAATCTCAGATGGCAGGCTAGGCAGTAAAAAAAGAGCCCTCTGAAGACAACATATGTTAGCAGGACTATGAGAAGGACTACTCCTCTAAGGAAAAAGAAAACCAGATTTACCATTTTAATATTTTTCCATAACATATTTCAGTTATGTCAATTCAAATCTACTAAAGACCAGTATGGCAAAAATGGGTAAGTTGGCTTTATCAGTACACTGCAAAGTGATTTAAATATTTAAATATTCCTGAAGCGTGGCAAGAGTCCATGACAAATGTTTGTCCATATTTAATACTGAAGATATGCAAGTTAAACTTTTTTTTTATAAAACAGATTTAGCTCATGCCTAAGATTCCCTCTTTCAATAGAGCATTCAGGGAAAGAAAGATTTGACTACAAATATATACTTAATTTTACTTTACATCTTTCAATAAGGGGAGTGAGGCAAGTAACGACTACTATAAGAATATTAAAGAAGGAGAAACTAGAATGTGGACTAACTAACTGTTGAAAACTTCATTGCAGAGAAGAAATATTTTTTTTTATTATTTGTATGGTTACTGTATATTTTACCTCAATTGTTAAAAAGGAAAGTATTAATGACCATTTTAATTCATGAAAGTAACAGTCAATACAACAAAGGATCATTCATTCCATATGTTACATTCTCCTTCCAAAACACACACTTCAAATTTAAATTCATCAGATTACATAAGCATTTTTTCAGTTGTCTGCAGAGTATCAAATATGATAAACATATCTAAGAAACCAAGAATGTGTTGCAGATAAGATGTATAGAAAATTTGGTTTATATGAGGTAATAACAGTAATCTTCTCCACAGTGAGTGATATTAACTCAGACACAACACAGTCATTTAGTGCTCAGAAAATAAATGAATGTGCTAGTTTCCAATTTAGAACATCCTATTTTCACTGCCGGAGAAACAGCATAAAAGGAGGCTTTCCCACTGTATTCGGAGTAGGCACAGGAAAGGTGAAACAGGAAGGAAAGGAAAACAACTGCAGAGGAAGAAAACAAAAAGGAAAATAAAAGAAAAAACCCAACAACGTATTAACTGGCAGGACACAATTCGCCTGTCACAGAACACAGCATGGTAACTTAGTTTTCTATCTACAGCTTCTATTCTCATTATCACCTCTTATGGTCTGCCTCATTATTTTTCCTCAGAAAATACTTCTAAAAGTGTACAATCTGTAAATGCTAAAACACAGGAAAGACATGGCTTCCTACCTATGACTCTTTACAACATCTAGAGGCACAACTTTTATATATTAGCATGGCTATTACTGACACTACTAATACTAAGGTTCATTTGACTTCCAGTCCAAAAAAATAGAAAAACAGTTTAAAACACCACAGTGACAAACTCCAAATATGCATACAACATGGTAATTTTTCCCTTCTTTCATAGAAACCTCTCTGCTATAATGTAGTAACAATACATAAATAATAATAAACAACAATAAATTAGAATTTGAAGAAGACATCTTACATCCAGAGTTTAAAGCTACAGTTAGTAGCTGCAGATTAATCACAGAGGTAGGCGAGTTCTATCATCTTCCATTAATACACTGCTTCTCAAAATACATTTTGCCTTAAAGTTACTAGGGATCACTAGAAACCGTTTGCCTTCTGTAACATTACAAAGGAACCTGCATTTTAACACATAGTATTCTCCCCAGCTGAAAGTTTTAAAGTAACTCTGTTTTCTTTTTGAGACTGAACAATCAATGACTTTGTACATTATTTCTGAAGTTAATACTGTGTTAATCTGGAGTCGCTCATTAAGAAATACCTCTAAGATAAGAGTGAAGCCACACATAAAATGTAATATATGAGTAAATAATCAGTGCACAGAAATAGGTGCTTCAAGCCCTGGAAGCAAATCTAGCGGTGGTCAGACCACTGCAGGGGAGGACAAAGTTGGTCCTCGAGGAATACAGCAAAAATGCCTCAAGGCAAAAAGCAGAGACTGCTTTTGGACTAGCAATCTGTAATTCCTCTGAGGAAGAAAAAGATGGATGATCGCTAGCGTTATTATGTTCTTGAGTTTACTCAAATGAAGCAACTCTTTCAACTGACAATGCTGAGCTGATGGTGTGGAACATAAGTGAACTCTTAGAAGAGTTCACTAAGTCTTCCCCCTCAAAAAAGGAAGAGTTTATAACAGGTAGGAAAGGGTTGCAGAAGCTATTAGGAAACAGGATATTACAGATATGAACAGGCATGTCTTAATAGCTTCTCTAACTTACTGAGAACTCAGCTACTGAAAATTGTTTAGGGATGAAGGGCTGGTTTGTTTTTAACTTGTCACTTTGTATCATGGCATTTACAGTTCAGCAATTGGTCAAAATAAAGCTTATGCAATCATAAAACTGCTTGAACTCATTTTAGTATTATAAGAGATGATGATTGTTTTACACTAAAGTTGGTTGATTTTTTTGTTTGTTTGTGTTGGTTTTTTTTTAAAAAAAATCAAAATATGCAATGAATTGTTTGCAGAAGTCCTTACCTCCTCTGTGGACTACGGCTCTGAGAGAACTCTGAATCACTGTCCTTTGACGTTGGAGAGCCCTTATACGTATAAAAAACATCCTCTGTTTCAGTAATATAACTAATCTCATTTGTAAGGTTATCTACAGATGAGTGTCGTGGTTTACGAATTTCATGACGTAGTCTAGGACTCCGCCTTAAAAATAAGGAACACAAACATAAGTTGGAAGATTAGAATAATTCATAAAACTTTATCAAAGTGAAATTTCTGTCCTATTGTAATCTATGTAACAAAGTCTTCATGACAGGCCTATAGGTCTCACTTCAAATAATCAATTTTTAAACACTTTGTGAGGTATACTAGGCAATCATACACTGCTGGGTTCAGTACACTGAGCTGATTTGTTTCTGCCT